GAGAGAGAGAGAGAGAGAGAGAGAGAGAGAGAGAGAGAGAGAGAGAGAGAGAAAGCTGCTAGTAGAGCTATAAACAGGCTCGCTCATTGTTTGTGGACAGATATTGATCATGTCCATTAGGAACCATGTCCATTAAGGACCAGAACCACTAACACCCATGTTTATATGGACTGTCATGGGATCTATAATAGACCACATAAGAAAAATTAAAATTTATAAGCCTACAAATACAAATACAAGTTCATAAGATTAAAATTCATTTATAAATTCATAAGTACAACAGTTTCGGTTTAGGCGGAAACTCGATTTTGTGGTTTTGGCGAGAAAACTTGATTTTGCAGTTTTAGGGGGGAAAAACTTAACTTTGGTGAGAAAAATCACTTTTCCAATTTTGTGGGACAATTCGATTTTGCGGTTTTGACGAAAAAATTCATTTTTCGGTTTTGGTGGGAAACTCGATTTTGCGATTTTGGCGGAAAAATTCAAGTTTTTGGTTTTTGTGGAAACTTGATTTTATGGTTTTGGCGGGATAACTCGATTTTTGGTTTTGACGGAAAACCTTGATTTGCGGTTTTGACGGAAAACTTTGATTTTGCGGTTTTGATGAAAAACTCAATTATTGGTTTTTATGGGAAAATTTTGTTTGGCGGTTTTGGCCAAAAACTCGATTTTCGATTTGTTGGAAAATTTTGATTTTACGATTTTAGCGGGAATAACTGATTTTATGGTTTTAGTGGAAAATTCGATTAGTAAATAATTGATTTTATGGTTTTAGTGGAAAATTCGATTAGTAAATACAATTCGACTAGTAAATAAAATTTGATTAGTAAATAAAATTTTACGGTTTTAGTGGGAATAACTGATTTTATGCCATATAGATTAGTAAATAAAAAAATATTAAATTAAATATAATATAGTTAAAAAAATAATGATGTCAATTTGAGCAACGCTAATGTCACCAGCTAAACCTTAAACTATAAATCTTAAATCTTAAACCCAAACTTTAGTCCCTAAACTTATACTCTAAATCCGAATTCTGAACCCTTAACCTTAAGTCCTAAACCCTAAACCCAAATCCTAGACCCTAAACCGTATACCATAAATCTAAACTCTATACCCAAATACTAGATCCTAAGTCCAAATTGTATATCCTAAATCTAAATTCTAGATCTTAAACCCAAACTATAAATCTTAAGCCCAAACTCTAAACATAGACACTATAAGATTTGGATTTATGGTCCAAGTTTAGGGTATAGGATTTGGGTGTAGGATATAAAGTTTGAGTTTATGGTTTGAGTTTATGGTCTAGGTTTTGGGTTTAGGATATACAATTTAGGTGTAGGGTCTAGGATTTGGGTTTAGGATGTAGGGTTTCGGTTTAAGGTCTAGAGTTTGGATTTATGATCTAAGGTTTAGAGTTTAAGATTTAGAGTTGATTAGCGTCATTAAAATTGACGTCATTGTTTATTCTTAATTTTGATATTATTTATAATTAATAATCTATATGGTAGTTGATTGATCCATAAAATTGAGATAAATTTAAAAGTTTGTCCTAGGGTGTGAAAGCATCATTCTTCATTTTTTTAAACGTTTTTAAATTATTTTTAATTAATAATATATGTGGTACTTTAATTAATCCTAAAAGTTGAGGTAAATTTAAAGATTCATCCTTCTAGGGTGTGAAGTGTAAACCTAAGTTTTGTTCATATTTGTATTGTTGTTGTTCTAAAGTTAGAAACACATAGATAAACCAATAGCAAGGAAAAGAAAGAAAGAAGAAAGGCAGAACAAGGGGACCACCAACATATAAAATCTCTTACATTGTGGTTTTTTTTATCTAAACTTAAACCCACAAGAAACACTTGCAGGGGAGATATACCCTATAGAAGAACAACTTTTCTAAATTTATATCTCAGAAGCCGGCTCCCTTTATCTTGGTTCATCCCAGTCCCATATTTTGTCCCAAGATGGCGAGCTGCTCGATGATCTGAGTTGCATTAAGGATCTCTGTGGCTCCATAGATAATGTTCTTGAGCGTCCCCTGAGGCTGCTGCGAGAGCTCCTGCAAACCGCTATATTCAATGTAGTTACCCCCACCGACCATGAAAACAATGGCTTCACTGAAGCTCCTCCCCATCACATGGCTAGTAGTGCAAGCTTTTGAAGCTCTTGGATCGAGGAAAAGGTATGAGTCTGTTTCGGGGTTGGGTTTTCCCTCGGCTAAAGCTGCAACAGTCCGCGCCACAGCCAATTGCTGATCACCGGTTAAGAGATTCTTGACTCCTGAAGTGACAGCGTTTATTGACTGATCATAGAGCATCTCAGCCCAATCAACAATGTTGCTTCTGCTGGCTGAGTTTGCTGCGGAAGACACCACGTTCAGGGACTTGATCTTTTTCAGATACTGAAAAGCGCTTGTATCAGCCTCAGCCTCACGCAAGGCGAGTTCCACGGCTTTGACATCAGCCTGGTTAAGGGTATCGGAGGATAATAGGTAGATGATGGCAAAGCGTAGCTTGTCCATCTTGGTGCCTTTGGTTTTCAAAACAGAAAGAAGATCAGTGAGGTTAATCCTGGCTCCTCCCATCATCATGTCCTTCTCTTTCGTAGTGTACACATCCAGAGACCGCTCCTTGATCTCTCCAAGGAGAAAGGTGGCTATGTTTGTGTGCTTGTCAATCACCTGCTTTCTCTCTGTCAACTCTGGAAGTGAGTTCACAGCATCCATCAGATGCTTGGTGTTCCCAATCAGATCAGTGCTGCTGCTACTTCTCCTGTTCACCTCCTCCACGTCTTTCTTGTAATTGTTCAACTGAGCTTCGATCTCCCCAGCCACTTGAGGAAACTCTAGAGAAGCGTTGGCGGACCAAAAGGGGTCAGAACAAGTGTCTAAAAAGATTTTCTTCTTTTGCGCAGCACCTGGAATGATCAAGGCGTTGAGCTTGAGACCCAGAAGATCGTGAACAAGAGGCCGGTATCTGAAATCGTGTTGAATCCCGACAGAGAGGTCAAAGTTTCTATCGAAAATGCACAACAAAGGCCGCTGAACCTGAAACGAGCTCATGAGATTGTTCTTGCACAAAAGATGATACCTAAGTTTCTTATCCAACGAAGATGCCACCATCTCTGCTGGTCCTCCAACAGGACATCTGATCACAGGGACCACACCAAGGGTTGCCAGGACATCGAAGAGGCCACTAGCAATTTTTTCGATCATCTCCTCAATGTCTCTCCCCGTTGCTGATGGATCGTTCAGCTGAGCATACACATTCTGTTGTGACAAGGAAAACAAGTTGTCCTCCAAAGTGACAAACTCCAGATACTGATCATGCACGCTTTCAATGGAACCATTGCAATGGTGGAGAGTCCCTGAAGCTAGATCCTCGAGGAGGGGACGGGGGATGGAAGAGGAGAAGTTCAGATGAAAGGTGTCGTAGAGAGATGAAGTAACATCTGCTATGATTCTCTGGATGTTGGTTTCAGTGGGTTGAACAAAGTAGACAGCTACAGTAGGAACATGCTTTCGCTCATTATCATGGATCGGCAACTGGAGTGTTACTCTTTGACGACGAAGTTCCTTCACACCAATTAAGGGTGCGATTACATCCTTACAAAAATCGTCGTAGATCAACACCTTGAAACATTCCACGCTTTGATCCAAAGGTTCCTTGTTCAGGTTCAGCATCCGCAATACACATTCTGCAATCCCGAAGATTAAAATCCCAACATAAACGTAAAAAGAACAAATATCAACATCATCATCGTGCTTTGTGTTTCAGATCTGGTCTAGATCTCGAGTAAAAAAATATTTAACTGATCCAGCAAAACGATCAATGAAAAAAAAAAAACTGAGTGAAATTACCAAGCTGTTTAAGGCGTAGATTGAGCAGGAGGGCCATCTTCCGATTCCTATGCAGAGGGAGAAACCTTTTTTTTTTATTTTTCTTTTCTTATTTTTTTTTTAATATGTAATAGCATCAATGCCTGTATCAAACGGGCCTTCTAATGAATATTACAGTATGTCGTAAGAAATGTGGATGTAATTAAACATTGGGTTTTAGTAATTCAATCCTTCAACTAAAGATAAATTTTAAAATGAATCATCAACTAAAAATTTTATAAAATAAATCTTAAATTTTGACGCTCCATCAAAAATATCTTGACAGAAATTAATATATGTTAACAGTTTATAAGTTGAAGGTTTATAATGCTGAAAAATTAGTTAAAAGAATTTTTTTACAGTTTAAAAACAGTTAAAGGATATCTATCACTAAAACACATTAAATATTTTAAAAGCTTTATTATCATCTAAGCATTTTTTAAAATTGATTTATAAACATTTAAACACTTTATCGTACATTGTTAGTAAAATAACGGCTCGTTTACGATGACATGTACGTGTCATCGTAAAGAAATCATTATTTTACGACTATGTTACGTCAAAATACTTTGAATCTATTTAACGACCTAATTATGAGGAATATAGTTGCTAATTGGTAGTAAATTTTATTGGGTATAGCAAATTCGTTGTAACATTCCTACCTACCAAAATATTTTTTCTTTTAAATATGTTTTCCCTTCTTATTCTTAAGATGCACAACAAAAAGTAAATGTCTCGAGATATCTATGAGCTTCGGATTTGGATGTATGCACATAAAATTTATGCGGGAACAATGACAAACGACTTTCTCAACTGCGCATAGATATTCATATACCAAGCCATAAACACGTCTCTCATGCATGAAATATGTAAAATGTTATGTCTCTATCGTAAGTATAAAAATACCAAGTTTGCTCCTAGTGAAACAATTTAAAAACATATAGTAAATAGACGATTTATCCACTTGGTTTCATCATGGAGAGGGTGATAGTAGGAATGAACCTAATAGTAGTAATCAGTTTGAAAATGTTCGTAGAAGAGAAAAGCCGAGTCATTTGCCATACAAAAGTTACCCTCAGAAGAATCAGGTGGTAGATCAGGAAAGGATGCATAATATGGTTACAAATACATTTCGTGAAAACAACCTCAGTAATTACTGTAGAAGTAGAAAATGTAGAGGGGCCGAACTTGGATGCAAAAAGGATTTGTGAAATGCTTATCACAACTAATCAACCAATTTATGAATGTTGTAAAAAAAGTCTTTCTAAATTGTCATTGACAGCTAGGATGATGAATATCCAAACTGGTCATAACTTTACCTGAAGTTTGTATAGATACATGGACTGAGTTGTTTAAAGAGTATTTGCATGAAAATAATTTGTGTGCTAAACCTTATTATGAGATTCAAAAACTGCTTCATAGTCTTCGCTTACCTTCGGAGATGATAGATGTGTGGTATTACGTGCGAACGCACACCAATTAACCTAATGTGTACACTTCCACAATTAAATGGTATGTCGATGTAGCACTTTAGGATCGAATCCACAGATACCAAATAATATACTTTACTTTTATAGGATCAAATTCAAGCTAAAACGATTAAGTGTTGTGAAAAGAAAATCATGAGAAACAAATAATAAAATTGGGTTTTAAATTCAGGTTATAAGGATGTCAACCTAGGGTGTCTCATTGGGTGTTAACCATGCTGAACCAAACAATTATTCAAGCTTTTTAAGTGCAGCCTAGAACTCAGGTTTCTTAACTAGAACACCCTGCTCTCTCGCAGGTGTGCTCCTTTCGCAGAGGAGCAATGGTACCTATGCTCTCGCGTGGATCAATACTCAACAGCAAACATTAAGCACATACCTAATATCCTCACATCACACCCTGATATATACTTTTGCTGACCAGGGATGTGATGCTTGCTCTCAACAGATTTAGCAACCTAATTTAGGATTAAATGATAAAAGATTAAACTTAGAATCAAATACTAAGTGATCAAATCAGTATTAGCAGTAAGAACAGTGGAGAGCAAAGGCGAGAATGGGGCTTATCTATGTTCAGTTCAATAGATCAACACCCTAGAACCCTAGGCTAACAAGATTGACTACTCAGTCATAACAACAGAGAACACATAGTCAAGAGATGAAGAAGACATGAATATTGTTGCAAATAAAATATAAATAGGGTTCAGAGGATTCTTCTCTAAATCAAGAGAGGTGATCTTCTCCCTTTACAAGTATCTAAATCACAATATCCAAAAGTTCTAAAGTTTCTTCCCTCCCCAAAAGAAGTGTTCTCTGTCTAGGAAAAATAGAATAGAATATGTCCCAAGGCCACAGGCGGCTGGGAGAAGAAAATAGAAAGATTAGGGAAAATCCCGAAATCAATTAGAAGTTTCCATAATTTTTCGGGAGCAAATCGGGGTTTGCTCCGCATGTGTGCTCCGCGATGGAAAACTCTGGATTTTGCATTCTTTCTTCCATATGTTCCTCCTGGTGCATTCCAACTCGTTCTCCACCTGAAATAGCTCAAAACACACTAAGAATACTCCAGGAAAGCACAAATATGATATGCAAAGTATGTGTGTAAGAGCATCTCCAATGATACTCTATAATTTTCACTCTAAAATAGTGCAACTCTTATAGAGTTAGATTTGCTCCAATGGTTTACTCTATAATAGAGTTACACTATAAAAGAGTGAAATATAGAGGGATATTGCTTTTTACTCCAAATATAGAGTGAAAAAGCAACATTCCTCTATATCCCACTCTATTATAGTGTTAACTCTATTATTGAGTAAACCATTGGAGCAAATCCAACTCTATTATAAAGTTACACTATTTTAGAGTGAAATATAGAGAAAATTATAGAGCACCATTGGAGATGGTCTGATATGTCAAAAACACAACATATCAATGTGTGTATAGACATCTATATGATCTACTAGAAGAAAGATGCATAATTGTTAGAGGTTCGATTTTGCAAGAAGCCACGATACAAACCACAAGGACGTTGGCGGAATAGGGTACCGTACAAGCGGATAGAGGTGGGACGGATCCGGATATCCGGAAAATTTGAAGTATCCGGATCCGGATTTGGCGGATCCTTAATTTTAGTATCCGGATTTGGATTCGTGTCTTCCGAATATCCGGGCTTCGGATATCCGTCTAGATTTTGTGATATCCGCAGGTATCCGGGTTCAAATTCGGATCCGTAAAAATAATTAAAAAATTAAAAAAAAAATCAAAATCCTAAAATCCATACATAAACTAAATATTTATGCATAATTTATGAATATACGTAATGCATATAATATTATTAATATAAAAGTAGAATATTATTAAACTTGTTTTAAATTTAAATTTTAATATATCAGATATAATTTAAATAATATATTTTTTAAAATACGAATCCGAATCCGGTTTCGGTTTGCACGGATCCGAGATTTTACTATCCGGATTTGGATCCGGAAACCCCCGGATTTGGATCCGGACACCCCCGGATTTGGATCCGAACACCCCCGGATATCCTAATTTCGGAGCGGATCCGGAGCGGATCTCGGATTGAATCCGGATCCTTGATAAAAGTCCCAGCCCTACAAGCGGATGTGGTACTTACTTATTACGAATAGGATGAAGAGATTATATCAATCTATTGCAACAACAATGAGATGACTGCTGAACAAGCTCAGAAGGAAGACGAGATCAATCATCCCTCAGATGTAAAAGCGTGGAAATACTTGAATTTGGTACACCCTGATTTTGTAAGCAACATTAATAATGTTTATCTTGAGATGTGCACATATGGATTTTATCCTTTTGTAATGTCTAGAAGACAATACTCACTTTGGTCCTGACACAATACAACCTTCCACCAGAGATGTGTATTAAAAGGGAATTCCTTTTCATGAGTATATTGATACATGGGCCTAAGCATCCAAAGCGACCCCTCGATGTTTTTCTACAGTCTCTGATAGAAGAATTGAAGGAAGTGTGGTCCACATGGGTGCATACATATGATTGTTCAACGAGGGCACACTTTACAATGCGAGCAGTTCTTCTATGAGTTATCAATAACTTTCTTGTATATGTGATGTTATAAGGTTGGACTACGCATGGAAGGCTAGCTTGTCCTTATTGTAAGGGAAACACATGTGCATTTCAGCTGAAGTATGGTAGAACGACGTCTTAGTTTGATTGTCATCGGGAATTTCTTCCCATTAACCATCCGTACCAACGAAACAAGAAAATTTTCAGGTCAAAAGTGGTTGCTCCACCTTATTTATCTGAAGAGAAAATCGAGAAAGATATTGATTACTATGATGCACTAGAAACAATCTAGAAAGGGGGTAACTGGATACTCCTGCAAATATGGCTGACGGTTACGGGACACAACATAGTTGGCATAAGAAGAGTATATTTTGGAAACTTCTATACTAAAACGATCTAATTATGCGAAACAATCTTGATGTAATGCATATATCGAAGAAATTCTTTAACAATATCATCAATACATTACTGAACAGTTAGATTTGCCTACATTATATTCTAGGAGTGAGCTGCATATTATAAACAATGAAAACAATTCTGGTTTCCATTCTCAAATTGTCAGCAAAAGCTAAAGCAAAAGCAGTGTTGTTTAAGTGGGTGACATCAGATGTGAAATTTTCTTATGGATACGTTTCAAGTCTATCACGATGTGTTGAGCAGGGACAGAAGTTTTCAGGGATGAAAAGTCATGACTGTCATGTGTTTATTAACGACTTTTACCATTAAAATTTCCGGAGTTGTTTTCAAAAAAAGTTCACGAAGACTTGTAGGTAACAAAATTAATTACTTCTTAATGTAAAACGTAGTTATCAGAATGTTAAAAACATTTATCTTATTAATTTTATTGTACTATATATTTTCAGGTAGTGAAGTTTTTTTCAGAGAACTTAGCTCACGTACCTTAACTGAAGATGTCATCAGACAACTTGATGCGAATATCCTGATCTTAATGTGCAATTTGAAGAAAAAAAAATTCTTTCATCATTTTTGACGTTATGCAATATCTAGTTGTCCACCT